TTGATACATGATAACAATTTTCAAAAATTCATGATACATATGGGATTCCTTTACTAAAATTTTTACTAATTTCAACAACAATGGTTGCTGCTTCTTTTTTTCCTTTTTTGGTGTATTTTGTCAACCATTGATTTAGATGATTCGTCAAGATCTTTGTTTGAATTCTTCCGAACATTCATAGGATCATGCAAAGACTTTTTTCTATTTTCTTTCCAATTTTCATCGTCCGAATCATAAATCCTTTTATTAGTAAAAAGATCCATTAATATGATGTAATAGAACAATGAACAAAAACAAAAAAAGAAAAGAAAAGAAGAAGGGATGATGGAGTAAGAAGAAAAAGAACACCTAGAGACGGCTGATGTAATATAGCAATGAACAAGAAGAAAAAAATAGAAGAAAATAAGAGCAGATAATGGATTAAGAAGAAGAAGAAAAAGACTATAGACGGATGATGGAGTAAGAAGAAGAAGAAGAACTAGAGAACAATGGTCCAATTTTCAGAAATTTCAAATTTTTTGAATTTTGAAATTCAAAATTTCATATTAAATGTTGTGAAACGTTTTTAGTTAAAATTAATAATTCAAAATCAAAAAGTGATTCAGAAGACTGAGTGTTTTAGTGGAGAAAAAATAGGCATGATATTGGGAAAGTGTGTGTTATAGGAGAGAGAAGACTCTATGTATGTCTAAACTTCTACTAAAATTAAAAAAAGAGAATTATGTAATATTTAAAAAAAGAAGGGAAAATTAGAGAATACTAAACTTATCATCGTGTATTTAAGTTATTTTTCCATTTAAATAGGGCTCAACAGTGATAAACAACAAATTGAATGAGTCTGAATCGCATTTAAATTGTATAGAGCGCTTTTATGAGTTGTTGATCAAAAAAAAAGAATGAGTAGGAAAAAGAGAGTGAACAATTTATGCAATTCCCATTTTTGTTCACTCGTTTGAAACTAGCACTTATTTTTTTATTGATTTTCGGAGCAATAACATTCTTATTCGAAAGGAGTTACCACATTTCACATCAAGCTAGACCTCTCTAATTAAATTGTGCGTGATTTTTGAGACTTTTGATTATTTTTCTTATAATAAAATTCAGTATTGAAATCGTAAAAGGACTTTATTTAATAGTACTCTTTCATTTTTTTAAAAAAAAAGGTAATAGGGCCTAGAGCATTTCTTTCAATAAAAAGAAAATTTCATTGTAACGGAAATGGAACAATAATACAAACAGGTGCTTGAATTAAAGGATATAAACTTCAAACATGAATAGAATTTGGTAAAAAATTAAAAATTACAACCTTAATTTAAACAATAACAAAAATCAGATACTCTTCAATTTACTTGTACATGGATTGTACTGAGGGAGCTTGATTCATTTGCTGGTTTCCATATTGCTGCTGAGCAACAATGCCATTCCAACCTGCATTAAGTTTTACAGACCCACATTAACATTTGAGAATGTATACATACAAAAAAGATTACGTTCATTCTAAACTCACTGACTCTAGTTTCTAGATTTGCCTATGACAAAGCAGAATATTAATAGGAAAGATGATTTCATACCAAGAGCTGGATCCAGTCCCCTAATACGAAGCTCTCTGAACTCTTGACAAAGTGAACAAAATGGACAAAAGATGTGAGAAACTACATCTGAATAGGGAGCTTCCACCAGATTGTACCTCTGCCTCAACTTTGTTCTGTACTTGGAGCCCATGATCCATTGAGAGCAAACAGCAGGCATCATCAAGAGATACATAAAAGACCCCAATGGACAAGCTGCAGCCACCATCCAAATATCACAAAGAATTACTAACACACTTCTTTTACAAGACTTATTGGATAGATTTTAGAGAACAACTTACTCATTTCTCCTGCATCTTGAACTTCAGCTATCTGTCCAAACGTCAAACAAGGGAACAACGCTGTCATGGCAGCTGTACAAACAACAATGTTTAATATCAATATCATTGCTACATAATGCCTACACTATCTTACAGGAGGAGAGTTGTAGTAGGCTGACAACCAGCGTAAAACTAGTTAATTTATGATCACTCCTACGCCTCATGATCAGACATAACTGACACTAAGATTACAATTGTATAGGACAAAAATGTATACATACCATTAGTTTGGTCCAAATGACAATCAAATAAGCCAGTGCTCCATGGAGTTCCTGTTAGTGTTGGTGCATATGCTCCTTGGTATGAGGGATTTGGCACACCGCCGACTGGCTGAGCATTTTCAGTTTCATTAGAGGAATCAACTCTTCCCATTGTATCTAAAGCTTTGGTGTCTCAGTAGGAAGAAGATGAATGAGGTCCTTTCTTATGCTATATAAGAAAGGATTATGTGTTTACTTTGAATAACTAATCAATTAAGACACTTCAAATATGCTGCAGTCAATTGTTCGTTTTGGTTTTAGACGTTTAATTAATCACAGAAAAGGGGGATTTCAAATCAAAACTTTAGTATTATAAGTTTGATTCCAAGCCAAGTTGGCTAAGGTGTTCACATGTCAGTAGCCGATAATTGTGGCAAATTGCACACTGGAAAGTCATCGGTAGAATGTTCCCAGCCTGTAGTTTGAAGCAGCTTCTTCTTTTTTCAACTTCTTTGTAACACTCTGTAGTGTGAATGTGATAGTTGAAAGTCTCACCTCTATAAAAGAGATTGACTAAAAGCTAGTTATGCAAAAGTCAACTCTTCATAGAGTAGAGGAATGAAAAATTAACTGTATAATATATACTAAGATGCTCTATCAGAAAACTATGTAAGCATTATTATTACATTGAAGTCAACTCATAACCAAATTGTACCCTTTTGTACAATACAACTTATATCAGGGAATACCCTTAGAAAAATGTATAATCAGGATGATGGATGACCAATTCAAAAACGCCAATGCAAAATGACATGGATAGGGTGGTTTCTTGACTAGCTGGCAATTTGAGATATTCCAGCCAAAAAAATATATATATATAGAATACAAGGGAAGTGATGACAATTAACAGGTTAAAGAGTTTTCATTGCTGAAGCAATCTTTTCCACCAACTCAAGGAAGACGTTCCTCCAGGAGGTGGCGTGAGGACATCGAGCATGGTTTCTTTCTCCTTTGGGGTTAAGGGAATTCCTCGAACGAGATTCAAAGCCATAATGTGCACATTGGTCTTCTGTCTGTGCTTCTTGTAAGCCCACAAACCTCCAGCAGCACCAGCAACTAGTAGCTGCATCAAGAAAATTTCAAACAACTTCAGTGTTTCTGTCTATTAATGAAATATCAAGGCAGAGGTGGATAAAATCTTCAACTGACCGGAGAGAGCCATATAGCAGCCGTCTGCATATCAAATTTTGGGGCATAAAGTACAGTTTCACCAAAATCATCTTCAAGCTTTGTATAGATCTCCTTGTCAGACTTCCCAGCTTTAATTTCATCTCGAATTAGCTAATAAGATTACCCAAGTCAAAAAAAGAACTCCCAAGAGTAGGAATAACTTAGGCATGGGATACAAGGACTTATATGCTAAAGCCAAATGATGCAAAGCAAAGAACACTTGTCCTAAATGAAAAATACACTTCTGTGTGTAACCATTCCACTCAAGTATGATGATTTAATCAGTAAGTTGGTCCAAAAAACGTAGAATTATGACATTACACTCTCATAGGAGCAAACCTAATAAAAAACGAAATATCAACCACCAATTCAGGAAGTCTTGGTTTTTGAGCTGGGATTAACTCTTCATCAATCAAAAGCAAGTCACACAAACAAAGAAGATTAAGCCTTTTCCTGAGCACACACAAAAAATAGTTCCTTAGTAGTTTTTATTCAAAATAATGGACAATCCAGAAATAGCATATTCAATCAGTTCAAGAAAAACCAGACATAGAACAGGAAAGAACCGACTGAAAGAGTTCAGTTTACTCATTTTAAGAACACAGCGGAAAGAACTAGTTGAAGCGGGGAAAATAAATGTCAGCGATATGGGGACGATGATTATTGTCTTAAATGTAAAATCGATACCTTCAAAAAGGTAATTTCATGGGCAACTTGTTTGTTTACTCACTTTACCTCAGCCTATTTAAGCTTGCATAACAATGTAAACTCACAACCATTTATGTGGTCGTGAGATCGATTCTTATATTGTGCCAAAGCAATTTATAAAACACATGTTGAAAAGTTTGAATGCTACGCGGGGAAAATGAATACTTTATAGCCATTGGCCTTCTCCTTTGTACAAAAATATTGGCCATAACTGATGTTACTCTCCTCTTTACCTACAAACCAAACCACCAAAGCAACAAAAGGAAAAAAACAAAAGAGCCATGGAGACAGAAACAAGTTCAACATTAAAACTTCCTCAGTCTTCAGTAAATTCAGCTGAGGATTTAGGGATTTTAACCCCTCTTCACACTTCAGCTTCAATTCCAATTTCGTGGGACGAAGAGCCTGGAAGGCCTCGTCCATGTACTGACCTTATCCCTCTTCCAAACTCCATTAATTTCAATGAGCCCAAACTATGCTTAGAGACACATCCTAGGCTTTACATGGAAATCTGCCAAAAGTTCTTCTCCCATAACTCTTTATTTTATGGGTCTCATATTACCATAAAAGGATGACATGGCGTATCAATGGTCAAAACACAACATTACCAGCTTGCATATGCTTTCGTTCTCTTTGCATCAAATGTCCTCTCCATCAAGAGAAACTAGGGATGCAAATGCGAGAAATGTAATAATAAGACATACCTTCCTGAGGAGAATGGCAATGTCAGCTTGAGAATCTTCAATGGACTGACTGCCACATTCTGTACACCTAACATTGTGGCTGATATTTCTTGCTCTCGCCTCTACTAACCTCTGTTTCGTCACCTGATCCTCTTCCCCCTCCATAGAAATATATAATCAAGCTTTCTACTCAATAACAAAGTTCCCAAAAAATCTGTAAAAAAGTTATAAGAATAACCAAAAAAGAACTTAATCAAGAAAATCCAAATTTTCAGCTACGCATTTTATCAAACACCTCGCATGCACAGTACCCAACTATACCAAAACAACACAATCATTCACAAATGGTATTTCTAGCGTAGCAAGAAAGCATATGCAATAGAAAAAGTAGCGATCGGACTTTAACTACCATCGGATTTCACTATATTCCAGTCAAGACCATTTTCTGACCTCTATATATGGATTATGTAACTTAGCATAGCAAAAAATATATATATTAAGCAAAACAGCAACATAAACTTCACAACAATTATAGAAATAAATCGAAAAACACACCAAGTTTGAAGCTTTTCTTCAAGAAAAAAAACAGTAGATACCTGTGATGGGAGGAGCAATGGCGAAACTGGAAATAACGGGGCGGGTTGGACGGGCCATTAATAGTTGGGCCAAATATGTGTTGTGATTATGGGCCTATAATGGTAGTATATGGGCCTATAATGGTAGTATATGGGCCTATAATGATAGTATATGGGCCTAACGTGATGTAATCAATATTTCTATTACTACAAATCCTCATTCTATATTGATGGACATGTTCTCATCAAGTATTGAAGTTGCATCCATCATGAAAATATTCAAATACTTGTAGCTACTTGGAATCAGTTGCATGATTTTTCTCACATTGATAACATTTTTCTGTGGACATTTAAATACTACATGTAGTTCTTAGATGTTGTTTTTTAATATTCAGCTAATTGATATTGCATATAAAATGTAGATGAAAATGAAGATATCATGTTGATGTTTATGTTAATATTTTTAAATTGTAATTTAATTTTGTAAAGTAACACTATTCTTTCTAAAAGTGACATAACCCGATACAGTTTGAAGCCCACGTATTGATTAGTTAAGCGAGATATGTTTACTAACCCACAAAAATTGAATCAATCTAGACTGATTCGTCAATTTCAAAGCTTATATAGACTAGGCCAAATATCAATAGCTAGATTTATTCCATGTAACAAAACTAGTATTTATACAAATGAAAGTTATCCTTCTCTTCTTAATTCCTTTTTCAATAGCTTATCCAATTTTGGTGCGTGGAATATGACCATTCATAATAAATTCAATAATTCAAGTCAAGATTTCGAGACATGTTTTCATCCTGAAATAAACTAGTCCTATGTATCAAGAAGAGAAAGAAAATATTCTATATGTGTACAAGTAAGCGATAAAAGTCGTACTAAAATTATAAGTATTTTTACATTTTTCATTAAAGCTTTGTGTTCAAGCTTTAAAGTATAAAATAAAGTGTATTACTTTTTATGTGAATCAAATTTAATTAAATTTTATGGTATAAATACCAAACATGAAATATACGTAAAAAAATAATAATAATAATAATCGGGGACAGTTCAATAAGGGAGAAGAGACAAATAGAGGTGGGAAAATCTAAAAATTAAAATAGGCATTGAATTTGTCAAAACACAATAAGGTGATTTTACAAGCAATGGCCACATTAAAATAAAGTCTCTTTATATATATATATATAGTGTGTGTGTGTGTTTTGCCCTTTGGGGCCCTAGCTATTATCTTTAATATCTCTCTTGTCTTAGACTCCACAAACCAACAATATCATGAGACCTTTTGTTTTCTTACACTTTATTTTTGTTTCATTATTATCAGCTTTAGTGCCTTTATTTCTCTTCAACATTATTATTTTTTGATAGTTACTTTTCACCTGTCTTCCAAAACTAACATTCCCCACTCTTTTTCCCCCATCTACTTTTTTTCCTCAACCAACCTTCCTCCCTAAGTCAATAATCAATATATATTGCATGTATATATATATATATTCTTCATAAATGCACCTCTTTTCTCTTTACTTATACTTTCCACCTGTGTGTGGTAAACAAACATGTGGAGTTATAGTGCAGTAGCTACGAGTTTTCAGTAATTTTAACTTAAATTTTATATTCATTTCATTTAACATATGCACATAATTTATTTAAAAACCAATAGAATTATGATTTAGAACTCATAGGTTAAAAATCTATAGAACACAAATGGATGATAAATATTAGATCTCCATCCTCCAAAGAAAGTACCATATATATTGTATGAATGAGTCATACATACCACTTAAATGTGCGATATGATAATTGAAATTTCTCTATTCTCAATTAAATCTTTGAATTTATGTTTTTGAAATGAATAATTCGATAAATAATAATTGCATTGCATAAAATACAAAAAGGCTCGTAGTTAAAAGAATAATTCTCCTAACAGGCTCACATGACGTAGGTTAAAGACTGTGTGATGCATAATATACATCTTGAGATCCTAAGTAATTTGCATTCGCAAATTAAAAAGAGCAACGCTTCTAATAATCCTTTAGGTATTACCAAATTAAATGGACATTTTCATTAAAGTACTTTTTTGTAAAAAGATAATAATTAATATTTGTATTCCATTTATCATTATGAAAAGAAATGTATATATCTTATGTGTCTGGGACAGGAGATGTTAGTTTGATGCAAATTGGTAGCATTTAATCCTTACTCAAAGCAAAGAGAATAATGATTTGCAATCCATGATAAGGTATGTAGAAAGATTTTCCATTCCAATTTCTTAGTATCATCATTAATTTACAACTTTATGATGTTTCTTGCATTAACCGAA